ACTAAGGCAGGACTTGTTTATTATAAAGCAAGGAATACATGTTTTGCTATGTGGTGGTATTTAAAGAGGACAGCTGGAAGTCAGAATTCCTGTTTGCCATCTCCTGATGTTTGGAAACAAAAATTGTATCGTGTGCCTGGTGAATCTGAAGTCTGATCTCTGAGAGACACAATTGCAAGTGGTTTTTATGAACTGAGAAACACAAACTGGGAAGACACAATGGAATAAATTGTACCTTTATAAAGTGGAGTTGTAATCCAGTTTGTATGGAAAAGAGAATGGAAGTTGTGGCCTAGACTCTACTGAGTCACAGCAGCTAACACAATACAGCATAAGTGACAACCTTGCTCTCAAAGAGGCTCAAGGCTCATTGAGTCAGGCAATTCAATTACCCTTTCAACCTGGGAACAACCCTCCTCCCTTGTCCCTCTTCTACTCCAGAGCTCAGGTCTAACGGCAGAACAGCTACATTGTACATGGCCTGTAAATATCTAAAAAGCCTCAGGCTTAAGAGAACAAGAATCCCTGACCCTTTATGATTGCTATAGCCATTTCCCAACAAAACAAACCACATACAACGGAGCTTTTTAATACCTGACAAAGTTACTCATTTTCAGTTTACTGCTGTCTAAATAGTCTATATTAATAATGAATCATGTTTAAATAAATACCGGTGTGAAATACTGCTTACACAAGGATAAGGACAGGGAATTTACTGAACACAATCTTCTCTAAACAAGGCGAAGGGTAACTAGCTGAAGCAAGTTTCTCAAGTGGGTGATGAGAGATTCAGACACAGATCTTCAATAAGTCTAGAAAATGTACCCAATTCCCTGAATCTATTGACCTAAAACACCTGAATGTTCTATGTTTCTCCTATTTATTTCTTCTAGAAGCTATCATACATATTTATAAGCTTTTGGATTAGAAGTGGAAGTTTATTTGTAAGATGAAAACAGCAAAAAACAAATTTATCATATTGAAAACTATATTCAATGACATGCAAAATATCCTTGATCATCTTAAGCAACAACTTCAGTGACAATAATACAGAAATTTTCATCAAGCTGAATATTCAGCCTACTGAATGATAATATCTAATTTATTATTTCAATAGAAGTTCAGCAAAATGCATAACAAAGTGAAAAATTACTTTCTGGTTCCTTTAAAAATGATCAAAATTATAAATTATATGTTTTAGTGTTCAAAAGCACATTATTCTTGTCTTCTATCTGCTCTAAAAGTGTATGGTGCAGGTACCACCACAGCAACAGAATGAAAGAGAGCAGAGGACACCACAGGAGCAGCCATGGTAGTGAGCTCTTAGACAGATTCTACGAGGTCATGATTTCAAGTGAATCATTTCAACTTTTGGTACCCCCCTCTCAACTTCCACTTTGTACCTTTGACGGAAAGCAAGGAGTTTCAAAATGCAGTCCTGTAAAAACAGCAGTACATACCTACAACTATAAAAAGATTCCATTAATAAAGTAAACCATAGGGATTTCCTGTAATTTCTCTGAATAACAGAATTTGTTACAAGAGATATTTTATAGCAAAGGCATCGCAAACTAATACATCAAAAGGAAAATTCAACCCAGCAGACTGCAGCCATCAAGTCAAGGCTGGGTTCCCTCTGCACTGTTAGTTTCCTTAGGTTGCTTGGAACATGAATTACAGGAGGCATAGCCAGTGACATGGAGGCTACAAATACAGAATCATCGACTGGTTTGGGGTGGAAGGGGACCCTGAAGATCATCTAGTTCCAAACCCCTGACCATGGGCATGCAGGATTCTCTAGCCTTGTTTCTCAGCCCATGAATTCAGCCACTTGCTAAAATCCTCCCCCTGAGGTTTTTACTAACTTCTGATTTCGGGAGGTTTATTCTTTTTGTTTGTTTTTCTGGCTATTTAGTTTTAAAGTCAGCATTAGGGTTGAGAGAAATGCTTCCACAATCATGCCATGTAAGATTTCTTCTTATAAGGTAAGGAGAGAAAGAAGAGCATAAACTGTTACGTAAACTCACACTTCAAACTTGAATTAACAGAAGCAGTACTGATGTAGGCATTCAATTTTCCATCCTAACGTTTTGAACAGCAGAAACCAAATATCCAACTTTTCCAAACTTCCTGTGTGTGAATATTTCCATCTCCTTACAAAACAGCCAGATATAAAAATGAGGTAACAGCAGTTACTAAAGCTGTGTTACACCTTTTATCATAAGTTTTAGAGTGGATACAGAAGATATTGATAAGCAGGGATAGGGTCCAAAAAGATATGCTGTGACTACATTTCAGTAATCTAAGATACTTTGGGCTCTCCACAAAGAAAGTTAGATCTACTGAGAGAATAGCAGTAAGCTGCAATTCTTTTCTAGACCAAGATACTCTGATAAAACACCAAGTGATCAGGTCACCTGCTCAGGACAAAACCAGTATCTTACCACGCATCTGCAGCTTCCAGGAGGATTCAAAAGTCATCATCAAGCAACTCAAATTCTGTAGGGTTGATCCACCTCACTGACCATCTGACAGGTTAAATCTGGCCCTATTAGAATCAGTAAGCACGTACTTACTCATTGTCTTCAGCAAGGCAAAGACTACTTCAAACCTTCAAGGCAGTTTACTAATGTCATTCCAGTATAGCATTGCCAAAACATAACTCTCAAAGCTCTGAAGTCACGCTACTTTTATTGTCTCTGCTCTGTAAAAGAAACATCTGCCTTTAAAATAACTTACTCTTTCCATCAAGTTACAAAGGGGCATCATATTTTAGAGGTTGTCAGAGTCTAAGAGACCCACCAAATTTATTGTATAAAGGATATTGCTGGTGTTAGCTCTTTTTCTGACGTCCTCTGTTGCAGGCTTCAATTCATTTTCCTTAGTTGCTCATTCCTAGCTTTATATTTTGATAACTAGGCCCCTTTTCTTTCCTCAAAAACATATCACCCAATCCTACCCAAAGCAACATAATGAATCCTCCATAAGAAAAAGACCATCCTGGTAAAATACTTCCATAACATTTGTTTTAGATTTCCTAAACAAACTACAGCACTATGATCACGGAATCATACAGCATGACAGGAACTAGGTTGGAAGAGACCTTCAAGATCATCAAGCCTAACCCATGCCCAAACACCTCAACTAAACCAGGGCATTGAGTGCCACATCCAATCTTTTTTAAAACACATCCAGGGATGCTGACTCCACCACCTCCCCAGGCAGATAATTCCAGCACATTATCACTCTTTCCATAAAAAACATTTTTCCTAATATCCAACCTATATTTCCCTTGGTGCAGCTTTAGACTGTGTCCTCTCATTCTGCCGGCTGCTCCCTGGTGAAAGAGACCAACCTCACCTGATTACAGCCACCTTTCAGGGAGTTGTAGAGAGTGCTAAGGTCACCTCTGAGTCTCCTTTTCTCCAGGCTAAACACCCCCAGCTCCCTCAGTCGTTCCTCACTGGAATTGTGCTCCAAGCCCCTCACCAACCTCATTGCCTCCTCTGGATGCGCTCAAGCATCTTAACATCCTTCCCAAAGTGAGGGGCCCAGAACTGGGCACAGCACTCGAGGTGTGGCCTTACCAGTGCTGAGTATGATGGATGTACCATCCTGAGTACCAGGATGACCTCCCTGGTAATGCTGCTGGCCACACTATTCCTGATACAGGCAGATGAAAGAATAGCAGCTCCATTCCTGCCTTGTACCTTCTCTGCTCTGCTTGCCTTCTTCACGATGCCTGAAGAGATAACAAGCAGCAATATGCCACAAACTATACTGTGGTTGCAAACAGATGCCTACATTCATGAAAATAAATGCAGCAGTGACAGGATACAGATTATATATGAAAACAGTCTATATGCATATACTGGGCATAATGCCAATTACTGCAAACCACAGCAACACATAGTTACATGATAATTGATACAGACATTTTAATATCTCCTCTTATCCTAGTGTTTCTTGTTAAGATGCAGGATTAACTGGTGTTCTCTCCATACCACTCAGTTTATACAAGCAGTGTGGCTGTTCACTTGCACATGGAAGTGCTGCTGTTGCCCACATACTTCCCTCAGCATTACCTGTGTTGGCCCTTTCAAATGCACGGAACAGTGAAAATGTTAAGAGTATAAAAAGCAGACAGATAATCTTTATAGCACCCTCAGTAGTTTATGAGCCTAGTTGGGTTCATACAGATGTAAGTGACATAGCAGCTGATGGTTCCACAGATATGAAGTAAGCATTAAGAGGTATGGGGCAACCAATATCCAGTCATCTCAAGGCTATCCCAGATGTCCTTATAATTCACAGCAGCTTTGCAGTAACTTTTATTTCTATTTATGACCATTAAAGTAATTTTTAAATCACAATTCACAATAAGGTTTTTAAGGTTTCATTATGATCATCATATAGTAGCCTATTTAGAAAAGGTACAGTACCTCCAAAGAGGGGGGCCCGTTTATTCCTGCAGTATGTTATTAACAGTCCCAGTGAGTGACTACACTTGTATTAAAGAGAAACTCTTACTATAAAGGACAAGATAATATTGCTTGAGATTATCATTTTTATACCAGATTTCTTCTAATAGGAAATTTAAATTATAATAACTTATAGAAAACCACCAATACACCCCCCCCCCCGCAGGTTTAATGAAAGGAGAGATTTGTAACTGTAATAACTCAGGTAGCAGAAAGGTTAAATAATGACATTATAATGCTCAGGTTTTTGAATACCATTGTATTTGAAAACCATCAAAACCAAAAACTTTATAGAAAAAGTGACATGAAGAAATAGATCTGCAGTATACACTATCTGTACAGGCCCAGAACAGAAGTAAAAATAATCAAAATTAGCTGACTCAAGCTTCAAAATGTCTGTTCTAAACACTTTATTTTGAAGACTTTACAAAGATAAGCCTCGAAATGCAATCTCACCTACAAAATTTGCAAGTAACTGCTGTTATCTCCAGCCATGTACAACTGCAAGCCCAACTTTACCTTGTTTGCAATACTTGTGATGAATGACTTGATGTCCAGATTAGTTGGGCAACTCTTCTGACAGGGGGCATCTGCACACTTTAAACATCTACAGGAATAAAAGAAAATATGTCAAGGAAACGTGGAATCTAAGTGCTGCCAAAGCATAAGATTTTCATGTTAGCATGCTAAAAGATAAGTCACAAAGCAATAGAGCGTAACACACAAAATTTCTCTTTAAAACCTCAAAATGCTACATGATCATTATTGACTGTCATCAACAGAGATTAGTTATGTTTTGCTGACTGCATTTTACATAGGAAGGCATTTGCAAGCACGCAGCTAACACCTGTCCAAGTATTAGGAAACCTTCAAGTTACAGAGAGGCAATTTTTTTCCCTGGAATCCATGACTGCTAAACTTCTGACCAGTTCATTTTTCTATTTGAAAAAAAAATGTGCTGTGAACCTAAATTTATTAACTAAGTTCTGGAAGTCTCATTATGGATTAAATGTTGAATGTTGGACCATCAGATATACAAAAGCAACAGTATTTCACAAAGGAGGGAATTACTTTTTACTGTATGTCCAAAGCTGATGAATTTTCAAGTCACTTTTCTATGAATTTCCTGAATTTCTATGAAAGGCTATGACTTCTGAAAACAGTAGTCTTATACATACTCCCAACCAAAATCCCTAAGACCTTCTTCCTGTCATTTCTAATGACAAAGCAATAAGGTGACAAAACATCCTATGTAATAAAGCTGATTTTCTGTTTCTGCATAGTCACACATGCGGGTGTGACAATCTGGTTGTTTGCATCGGTCCCATCTAAGGATTAAGTCCTCAGGACAGTCTACACAACTTGCATTAAGCAAACCTAAAAAGAAGATAAAAGTCAGCTGAAGGAGTAAAATGCTTCTCTATTAGGCACAAAGGTATTAGTACACAGCTTTGGTTTTATAGATCAATGATTATCACAGGTCAAATGCCTCACTACTTGTCTCAGAATTAATTAGGTTATTACAGATGCTCTTTTGATACTGCTTTAGTAACAGTCAGAATTAATGCAAATTGTGGGTTTAAAAATATATGGAAAATTAAATAAAATTTGGGTTTTAGGTATCCTTTGAGCCCAGATACTCACATAGGTTCCACAAGTCTACCTTAATTATTGTTATTCAGTGCTAGGTGACAAGATCGTGGAACTGGCTCGGACAGAGAATTTTAAAACACAGAAAAGCTGCAAGAGGCCAGTGGACTATATAGAAAGAAATTAAGGGTACATTAAAAGGAAATAAATTATTGGAATTCCTGCAGCAAAACACTATTCTAACTTTGTCAATCACACACATCAGTGGTTTTTTTTGTTGTCATTTTTACAGTTAAGGGTGGAATATGAGAGAAGGGAAAGCTAGTTAAGTAAAAGATTAATTAGCCTTTCATCTTACTATTCATTATTATCTAGATGAGTATTGCAGACGATATGGCACCAACAAAATTTGAAGGCAAATGTGATAGAGGCTGTTTGGATTTTAGCACAAGACTAGTCATAGAAAAAGGCCCCAGAGGCTATACTTAACGTAAACAGGTCTCACAAGCTGCAAAAGATGGCAAACCTGCAGAAGACAAACCTGGGTTCAACACCACGCTGGGTTACCAGTTCAACTAGGAGGGATGTCAGAAAAGCATTGGCAGGTTTAGCTGCGGCAGCTGAAGATAACACTGCCCAGCATTACCTGCGACAGGCACATGCTAAAAAGGCCTTAACAAGGAAAGGTGGAACAGGGGGACCTCAAAAGGTTGTGGCCAGAACATGGAGTCAAGAGGATACTTTTAGCATTCTAAGCAGACAAGAATTTCTCTTCTTTGAAAAAAAGTAACATTCTAGTATTAGAAGCCAGCAAAAAAGGAGATGTGCTAGACAAAATAACACCACTATGAGGACTCAGATGAGCAGTTTGCCTGTGTAAGCAAAAAAAAAATAACAGAACTCAAAAATCATGCAATTAAAAAAGACATCAATTCCATTACGACTTTTTACTCTTCACTTTCCTCAGTGAGGTTTTCTTCAAAATACGACAGTCCTGTATTCAAAATCAGAGAAAGCACGCTGAACATAAAATACATTCTGTGAATTATATATAGAACAATCTCATGTCAAAATGGCATGGCACCTGGCAGGATAAGATGTGTACAGATTACTTGCTCAGACTAGCAAGCATCTTTATCAAATTATTTCTCTTTTGATTTTTGAGCTGCTTCACAAATAACAGCTGTTGAAAATGTCAGCTGCTGGGAGGGGCAGGTAACGCAAATTTGAATGTGAGCTTTGGGGAGGAGGGGAGGGTGCCATGAATATGCCAGTCCAGACTTTCTCTTATAATAATACCATCTTCCAGGCACTCTGCAGACTAAAGTGCACCAGGCTGCCATTAATCCCACTTATCACCATGACAGCTCAGTAATTACATGCCTGCTATAGCTAGGTACTGTAAGGTACTGTAGTCGTAATAAAACATCGAGCACTGTGCTGAACGCATGCTGGTGAGGTGTTTTATTAAACCTGGGGGGTTGATCATCAAGTGACATTAGTGTTGACCTATTTTTCTATCTGACAATAAAATATCCTTTGACCATACCATCACAGATATCACAGAGTGCATTTACTGTACAAAGGAGCAAAGGTATCGCATTCTGGCAAATCAGGCAGAAAGAATAAATAAAGTAGTAGAGTCGCACACCAGAAAGTTATTACATAAATTGCTACAAGTGATTGATCCTTTCAAAAATACCCTGGTTAAGGGAACACACCAACAATTACCATGAGCTTCAGTTCCACATGCATATACCAATGGAGAATTATTAAGCATTATACTTCCTTTTGTTTTCCTTCAACTGTCCTCCCACCCTGAGAAATCCCACCTTTCATTTTATAAGGTTATTTTATGACTATGATTTTGGTTCAAAATATTGTAAACAAATTAGAGATCTTGATTAAGTATTTCTAATTCACTTGTTAGCTCCTAGTAAATTAAATGAAGAGGTGCATGCTCATTACAAAAAAAACCCCAAAAAAACCACAAAAAAAAACAACATTCTGGACTATCTGTGGACTTTTGATAACCTGAGAAAATATATCTCAGCATTCCTTAGTAAAAATATAGGAAAAATCCTATCAACTATCAGAAAACACCCTATATAATGGATTTTCTCCCATTGTTCATGGAACAGCATCTCCTTTAGTAACATATAGGCTGTTGCGAATCTTAAGACACCACATTCACTGAACATGCATAGTAATTTCCACATAAAAGGCAACACCCCAGTCTTTGCACTGCAGAAGAGAAAAGGAAGCCATAGCAAAGATAATTTTCAGTTAATAGCTTTTTTTGCACAGTTATTGAAATATTACCCAATATTTAATTTTAAAGTTAAAATATCTGACCAACAGTCCCATTTCCAGGCATAGGCCAGTTCTTAACACACTTTTGCTTCCAAACAAAAAAGGGCAATTTAGTTGTATCGTTACCTAAAAATGCAGCAAACAATTGTCTATGTAACTGGCAATAACATCACTTGAAGTGCAATCATATGAATGCTGAAAGACGGGTGAAATTGATAATCCGGAGTAATATTCCTCAACAAATTGTAGCTGATAACCCATCAAATCTTCATGTATCACAAAACAGAGCAAACAACCTTTATTATGGTTACTGTTGGCAGAGGTTTAGAAGCAAATTGAACCCTAATTCATTTCTCCAGGCCATAAACAGTCATTTTGAAAAAGGCTTCCAGCTCTAATACTTGCAGAAATTTCTAAAACTTTATCCACTACTCAGAGAAATAGCCCCAACAAAGGTCTGTATGTACTCTCTGAGGCTTTGGTCAATTCACTGTGAGAGAATGGTAGAGCTAACTGCACCCAGTAAATAAGACGTCAGTTTGAACAGGAGACCCAACTTTGACCCAACCAGGCTCTTCTTAGTTCCAAGTCTCTTGCACCACTCTAAACACTGAGCTGGGGACAGTAAGCACTGAAATAAGAAAGCTGCATGTCAGGAAGAAATGCATCTATTCTTTCCAAATAAATCTAAATCCCAAATTGAATGCCCCTTGCCTTTGATGGCCGAAGTGAAGAGCGTTACATAGATTTTTCTCCTAAAGCTCAATCTTTTAATTACTTATGGCTAATCCTGTATAATTCAGTCTTTCTTCTCCCCATTCGGTCTTGCTTCTTGCTGTACTGAAAGAGGGTCAAGGACAAACTTAAACTCAGATTTGGACATATACAGACTCATTTAATAAAGGTAAGGGACCAGGATAGAGATCCACTACTTAAATTGTAAGCCATTGATGAAAACTTACTGTTGGCAGCTGAAAAAAAAAAAACCCTGCCATTATTTCCCTAATTAAAATTAAACAAACAAACAAACACACACCCAAAACTAACATTCACAGAGGAAAATACCACATTATTTTGTCTTTGTGTTCATTGCATTTCACAATGGACAGAAGAGGTGAAAAGGATTATAGACTAACTGGGAGATGTTTTGTCAGGTATTTAAATACCAAAACACTGTAACAGCTGATACAGGGGTTTGATGAGTACCAAAGACAAATAATACAGGAATATTGAAAGTCAAGAAACAGGAAAAGAAACTCTCACATGCGAGGTCAAGAACTTTGCTGTGTAAGTACAATGTGGCAAAGAAAACAGAATCTTAAATTAGAATCAACTGTGAAAACAATTTTGGACTACAAAAAAACAAAGACAAAACAAATCTAATTGCCAAGGAACACCTCTAGTATAAAGGGCACCAAAAATCGTACAAAACACGGCAATACAGACAAATAGATATCCTGGTCCTGGATATTTAATACTGGGTTAAAGGCAGCAGTCTTTCAGGTTATATTGCAGAATGACATGTGAAGAATTCTATTTGTGAGAAATGCCAGGCCTGTTAGCAATGCACAGGAGCTGTAAGAAACAAAACATCGAGTATCATGTAAATTGACAATACTGGTTCATATCTAAAGAAAGAAGGAAAGACTCCCACACTGTTGCCTCTTCAGTCACCTGAAGTCCTGTAAGCTTTCTGCAGATCCA